GGCACGGGGTAGGAGTGATCTCTGTGTTTGTTCCTTAGTCGTTTTCTTATGCTCTTGCTACTTGCCAGTTCAAGGGGAGAAATGTCAGGAGTTTCACTATCAAAACATGACAACAATGGTACAATGAAGTTGGCAAGTAAGACTTCATCAGATGCTAGTATGCAAGCAAGACAACTGCAAGCACAACATGGTCGACCACATTCCTGTCAGACTTATATGACTTAGCCAGTGTAGGCTATAGTGGGGTAGCTCATATGGGGTACAACACTTCTAGGTTTTCCTACTTGTACCCACCTTTTTCCTAGTTCCCTCATTCCTCATTCTTCACATGGTATAGAGCACGTTCACTCGTGGGAACGCTTCTCAGGGCCCACCACTGAACTCAATCTTTTCTTCCTGCCCGAGGCGCGCCCCGTAGGCCACCCTCACGTCGCGCCCTCCTAGAGGCCCCTCGCGCCACCCTTACGGCCCCATCGCCGTCCTTTGCAGCCCCGTCGCCGCCCCTCTAGGCCCCTCACGGCCACTTCACGGCCCCGTCGCCGCCCCTCTAGGCCCCGTCGCTGCCCCTCTAGGCCCCGTCGCCGCCCCTCTAGGCCCCTTGCAGCCCCTTCGCGGCCCCCGTCACCGCCCCTATCGGCCCCGTCGACACCTCTCTAGGCCCCTCGCGGCCCCTTCACGGCCGCGTTGCCGCCCCTAACGGCCCCCGCGCCGCCCTATCAGCCCCATCGCCACACCTCGCGGCCACGTCGCCGCTCTTCGCGGCCCCGTCGCCGCCTCTAGCGGCCCCTTTGCCGCCCTTCGCGGCCACGTCGCCGCCTCTACCCCGGCCCCGTCGCCGCCACTACCGGCCCCTTCACCGCTGAGCCGCCAAGCAGCTAAGCCGCCGAGCCGCCAAGCCGCCCAGCAGCCGAGCCGCTCAGCAGCTGAGCCGCCCAACAGCCGAGCCGCCCAGCAGCCGAGCCGCCGAGCCGCCCGGCAAACGAGCCGCCGAGCCGTTCGGCAACCGAGCCGCCGAGCCGCCCTGCCGTCGAGCCGCTACTGTTCCTATCGGTGCGCCCCGGCCCTACTTACTCAGACTGGTGAGATCACTCCCTACTAGACCACTGCTGTCATGGCTACCCCTAGTGTCCTTACCTTTGATGCTGAGGGTCGTGCTGTTGACTTTGAGGTCTGGGTCGATGACCTCCAGCTGTTCCTACAGTGCGATAGGGCAGGCGGACTCTCTCTGTTCGATCTCACCTCTGGTGCCTCTCCTGCCCCGCCGACTACTACTGACAGCAGTGTTCGCTCACCAGTGGGCCACATGCGATGCTACTGCCCGTCTTGCTCTGCGTCGCCACTTATCGACCACTGAGCGTGCACACTTTAGTCAGTACAAGAGTGCTCAGACCTTGTAGGACGCTGTAGTTGCACACTACTCTTCCCCTGCCACAGCTGCTCAAAACCGCCTCATGCTGCCGTACCTGTTCCCTGACCTAGCTGCCTTTCCCATAGTAGCTGGCCTAATCACGCACCTTTGCACTAGTGACACTAACTACCACGCTGTGCTTCGTGCTGAACTCTGTGCCAAGAAACCCCCCCCCCCATGTACATCACCCTCTACTACATAGTCATCCGGCTCCCTGACTGCCTTCGCTTAGTCAGGGACCACTTCCTCTCAGTTTGCCCCACCACACTCACCGTTGACCTCCTCGAGGAACGCCTCCTAGCAGTAGAGAAGAGCATAGTCGATGTAGAAGCCTCTCGTGGTGACCCTCCCACCCTTGTCTTTGAGGGTGGTGTTCCCCCTCCCCCCTCCTTGCCCTGTGTTGCTTCTGCTGCTTGCGGCCGACCTCGTTGGTTTCGAGTCGGTCGGCGCTGCGTCTGCCCCTAGTGGGAGACGCCGCACCGGCAAGGGCAAGGGGGCAAGGGCACTAGAGGGGCTGGCGGGGGTGATGAAGGTGGTGGTGGAGGCAGTGGAGGGGGTGGGGGTGGAGTGGGAGTGGTGGCGGGGGGTGGAGGTGTCAGTGGCAGCAGTGGAGGCGGAGGAGGCGGCGGCGGTGGCGGAGGGAGCGGAGGCAGCGGAGGTGGCGGAGGCGGCGGAGGAGGCAGAGGAGGCGGCGGCAGCGGTCGAGCTGGTCGCGGCTTTGCGCAAAGGAGTGGGTCCGGTGGTGGTCCGCGCCAGCAGAAGTAGCGCAGTCGTGAGACACTATCCCCCAGTAGCTACGTAAGTGGTACGCTGGGCGTCAGCGAGGTGGGGGTACTGGACCCTGCACCTACGTCCTCCGTACCGGCGACTGCGCTGGTGAGCAATGCGGGGGCCCGCACTCCACCCAGCGCTGCTTCGGCCGCCTGACAAACGTGTGGCGTCACCAATTCTCTGACGCCTCTGAGATCCCTTGCGGGGGAGAGCTATCTAGGGCGGGGGTTTGCTATCTTTGATCTTGATTATGATGCTATTCTTGCTGCCATGTATGCTGTGTCTAATAGTGATGAGGGTGACTGTTACCTGTGTGTTCCGCCTGACCCGGGCATTGAGGCTGCTGCTCTAGGTGCTGGTGTGGCTGCTGCTCTAGATGCTAAAGCGTCTGCTGCCCCAGGTGCTAGTGATTCTGCCCTCTCAGGTACCACGTCGGCTCATGCCCTACACATCTTCACCCTTGACTCGGGTGCTTCCCGCTCCTTCTTTCGAGACCGCACCACTCTTACGCCACTTAGTCGGCCGGGTTGCAGTCTCCCTGGCGGACCCCTGTCAGGGTCCTGTCCTTGCTAGCTTCTCCATTGTCTTACCGTATCCGGCAGCCCCCTCTGGCACCCTGTCAGGTCTCTACCTCCCCTCGTTCTCTACAAACTTGGTGAGTGGAGCTGATCTACAGGATAAGGGGGGTTGACCAGTTCACTGTTGCGAGTCAGCGGGTGACCCACTGCACGTGTGCTCGGAAGGGCCGACACTTGGCCACGTTTACCCGTCGGCCTGGGTCGAGCCTGTACACACTGACTACTGAGTCTCCTCCGGTTGCTGAGTCTGTCATAACATTATAGCTTATGCTGTTGTGTAGGCTATAGTGGGGTATCCCATAGGGAGTACAACACAATTAGGGTTGGTACTTGTACTCACACATTTCATAGTTCATTCATTTGTGTTCTTTTGTTTCACATGGAATCAGAGCAGGTTCCCTCCTAGGGACTGCTACTAGGGCCCACCGAAGCGCGCCCCGAGGCGAGCCTTCCCTTTTTTTTTTCCGCGACCCTCCGTGTCGCCTCTAGCGGCCCATTGAGCCGCCCTTGCCTACGCGGCCTCGCCGCCCTGCACTTCGCGGCCCCGCCGCCTTGCACTTCGCGGCCCTGCCGCCCCTTCCGTCGCGGCCTCGCCGCCCTGCACGTCGCGGCCCCGCCGCCCTTCCTTAGCGGCCCCGCCGCCCTCCACTACGCGGCCCCGCCGCCCTTCACTCGTGGCCCCGCCGCCCTTCCTTCGCGGCCCCGCCGCCCTTCCTTCGCCGCCCCGCCGCCCTTCCTTAGCGGCCCCGCCGCCCTGCACTACGCGGCCCCGCCGCCCTTCACTCGCGGCCCGGCCGCCCTGCACGTCGCGGCCTCGCCGCCCTGCACGTCGCGGCCCCGCCGCCCTTCCTTAGCGGCCCCGCCGCCCTGCACTCCGCGGCCCCCGCCCTGCACGGCACGACCCCGCCGCCCTCCACGTTGCGGCCCCACCGCCCTTCCTTAGCGGCCCCGCCGCCCTTCCTTCACGACCCCACCGCCTTGCACGTCGCGGCCCCGCCGCCCTGCACTTCGCGGCCTCGCCGCCCTTCAGTCGCGGCCCCACCGCCCTGCCTTCGCGGCCCCGCCGCATTGCACGTTGCGGCCCCGCCGCCCTGCACTTCGCGGCCTCGCCGCCCTTCAGTCGCGGCCCCGCCACCCTTCCTTCGCGGCCCCGCCGCCCTGCACGTCCCGGCCCCGCCGCCCTTCTACCGCGGCCCTGCCGCCCTGCACTTAGCGGCCCCGCCGCCCTGCCCTTTGCGGCCCCGCCGCCCTGCACTTAGCGGCCCCGCCGCCCTGCACTTACCGGCCCCGCCGCCCTCGGCTCCTCGCCAACTGCATCGTGCACCCGAGCCGCCGACCGCCGCACCGCCGAGTACCGGGAGGGCCGAGCCGCCCTGCAGCTGCACAGCCAAGCCGCCCAGCAGCCGAGCCGCTGGGCAGCCCAGCAGCCGAGCCGCCGAGCCGCCGAGCCGCCCAGCAGCCGAGCCGCCGAGCCGCCCCGCAGCCGAGCCGCCGAGCCACCCCGCAGCCAAGCCGCCGAGCCGCCCAGCAGCCGAGCCGCCAAGCCGCCCAGCAGCCGAGCCGCCGAGCCGCCCGGCAGCAGAGCAGCCGAGCCGCCGAGCCGCCCCGCAGCCGAGCCGCCGAGTCGCCCAGCAGGTGAGCAGCAGAGCCGCCCTTCTGCCGAGCCGCCTGTCCTGCCCCGTCTGGTGAGCACGCCCCACTGCTACTGCGTGCCTTGCCCCCCCCCCCCCCCCCCCCCCCCCCCACTGCTTGCACTGCTAGTCTGTCGTCATGGCTACCCCTAGTGTCCTCGCTTTTGACGCTGAGAGTCGAGCCATTGACTTTGAGGTCTGGGTCCACGACCTCCAGTTGTTTTTTACAGTGCGATAGGGCGGACGGTCTTTCTCTCTTTGACCTCACCTGTGGCGCCTCTCCTGCTCCTGCTGCTTATGCTGACCCCACTGTTCGCTCTCAGTGGGCCACCCGCGATGCTGCTGCACGTCTTGCTGTGCGTCGCCACCTCCCTACCACTGAGTGCGCGCACTTTAGTCAGTACAAGAGTGCTCAGACCTTGTACGACGCTGTAGTTTCGCGCTACTCTTCCCCTGCCACTGCTGCACTGAGCTGCCTCATGCTACCGTACCTCTTTCCTGACCTTGCTGCCTTTCCCACAGTCGCTGACCTCATTACGCACCTCCGCACTAGTGACACCCGCTACCACGCCGCCCTTCCTGCTGAGTTCTGCGCCAAGAACCCCCCACCCCATGTACATCGCTCTCTACTACATAGTCACTCGCCTCCCTGACTCCCTTCGCGTAGTCAGGGACCACTTCCTCTTAGTCTGTCCCACCACTCTCACTGTTGACCTCCTCGAGAAGGCCCTCCTAACGGCAGAGAAGAGCATAGTCGCTGTAGGAGCCTCTCGTGGTGACCCGCGCACCCCCATCTTTGAGGGGTGTTCTCCTCCCCCCCTGCTGCCCTCTGTTGCCTTTGCTGCTGCTGCCGACCTGCTTGGTCTTGAGTCGGTCGGCGCAGCGTCTGCCCCTAGCGGGAGACGCCGCCCTGGCAAGGGCAAGGGGGGCAAGGGCGCGGGTGGAGCTAGCAGGGGCGGTGGAGGTGGCGGTGGAGGCGGCGGAGGGAGTGGGGGTGGCAGTGGGAGTGGTGGCGGGAGTGGTGGCGGTGGTGGCGGCAGCGGCGGCGGAGGCGGGTGGCGGCGGAGGCGGTGGGAGCGGAGGCGGTGGTGGTGGCGGAGGTGGAGGCGGTGGTGGCGGAGGAGGTGGAGCTGGTCGGGGTAGTGCCCCGCAGCGGAGCGGCTCTGGTGGTGGTTCGCGGCAGTAGCAGCAGCAGCAGCAGCGTTCTCGGGACGTCCCCTCGCCTCAGCAGCTCCGTGAGTGGTACACGCAGAGTCAGCGTGGTGGAGGTTTTGGCCCGTGCACCTACGTTCTTCGCAGCGGCGACCGCGCGGGTGAGCAGTGTGGGGGTGCCCACTCCACCCAGCGCTGCTTTCGCCGCCTCACGGACGCTTGGCGTCAGCAGTTCCCTGACGCTTCTGAGATCCCCGCTGGGGAGAGCTGTCTAGAACTGGAGTAGCGATCTTTGATCTTGACTTTGATGCTATCCTTGCTGCCATGTATCCTGTGTTTTTTAGTGCTGAGGGTGACTGTTACCGGTGTTTCCCGCCCGACCCGGGCATTGGTGCGGTTGCGCTAGGTGCTTGTGAGACTGCGCTCTCAGGTGCTGGTGAGGCTGCGCGCTTAGGTACTGGTGAGGCTGCGCTCTAAGGTACCGCGTCGGCTATGGCCTCCCTCACCTTTACACTTGACTCTGGAGCTTGTCGCTCCTTTCGGGACCGCACCACACTCACGCCGCTTGGCCGGCCGGTTGCAGTCTCCCTGGCTGACCCCTCTGGAGGTCCTGTCCTCTCTCACTTCTCTACTGTCCTCCCGTGTCCAGCTGCCCCCTCGGGCACCCTGTTTGGTCTGTACCTCCCCTCGTTCTCGACGAACTTGGTGAGTGGTGCTGCCCAATAGGATGCGGGGGTTCACCAGTTTACTCCTGCGAGTCAGCGGGTGACCCACTGCACGGACGCACGCACAGGCCGGCACCTGGCCACGTTCTCCCGTAGGCCGGGGTCGAGCCTCTACACCCTGACCACTGAGTCTCCTCCTGTCCCTGTGTCTGGCCAGGTAGCTGCGTCGGGTCAAGTGTTTGCTGCTGCGTCCACGTCTGGCCCTGAGTCTGCCCCCTGCTCGTGTCGTCTCCTGTCTCACGAGACTCTCCTATGGCACCACCGTCTTGGCCACCCCTCCTTGCCTCATCTCAGGGACATGGCTTCCCGTGTCCTTGTCTCTGGTCTTCCCCGGTCTCTCCCTCCCCTTCCTTCGGGGCCAGGACCTTCCGGTGTCCCTTGTGTCGAGGGGCGCCTCCGGGCCGCCCCCCACTCCTCCCAGTTTGTTCCGACAAAGGCTCCTCTGGAGACAATTCACACGGACGTGTGGGGCCCGGCCCGCGTCCGTGGACAGGGTCACGAGCGCTACTTCCTGCTGGTGGTTGACGACTACTCGCGTTTCAACACAATCTTCCCCTTGCGCAGCAAGGGTGATGTCACTGAGGTGTTGATCGACTGGATCCGCGCTGCTCGTCTCCAGCTCAGGAGGAGCTTCGGCTCGGACTTTCCTGTTCTGCGTCTGCACTCTGACGGAGGCGGAGAGTTCTCCTCTGGCCTCCTCCGAGCCTACTGTCGTGCGCGAGGCATCCGCCAGACCTTAACGCTTCCGGACTCTCCGCAGCAAAATGGGATTGCTGAGCGCAGCATTGGCATGGTTCTGGACGTCGCTCGTTCGTTCATGATGCATGCGGCTGCCCCCCATTTTTTGTGGCCGTTTACGGTTCGGTACACGGCGCATCAGATCAACCTTCACCCCGGGGTTTCCCGGCCGGGGAAGGTCCGTACCTCCCCGGCCCTGCTGTGGACTGGGACAGTCGGCGATGCGTCTGCGTTCCGTGTCTGAGGATCTCGGGCGTTAGTCCGCGACTTGTCTGCGGACAAGCTGTCCCCTCGTGTTGCTCCCTGTGTCTTCCTTGGCTTCCCCCCTGACGCTCCAGGGTGGCAGTTCTACCACCCCTCCTCTCGTCGTGTTCTGTCCTCCCAGGACATCACGTTTGACGAGTCGGTCCCCTTCTACCGCCTCTTCCCCTACCACACTCCTTCCCTCCCCCCGCCACCGGACTTCCTTGTGCCAGGTCCCCCTTAGGGTCCTGCCCGTTCAAGTGTGTCCCAGGTAGACGCGGTCGAGCCGGTCGAGGTTCCTGGTGACTCCGGTACTGCTGCGGGTGCTAAGCCTGGGCGTGCTGACTCTGGGGGTGCTGTGCGCGTGGGTGCTGAGCCTGGGGGTGCTGAGTCTGGGGGTGATGAGCCTGGGGGTGCTGAGCCAGGGCCTGGGGGTGCTGAGCCTGGGGGTGCTGAGCCTGGGAGTACTGCGCCTGAGGGTGCTGAGCCTGGGGTTGCTGAGTCTGGGGGTGCTGCGCCAGAGGGTGTTGAGACAGGAGGTGCTGCGTCTGGAGCTGCTGAGCCTGGAGGTGCGGAGCGTGCGGTCGCTGGACCTCCCCTTGTGGCGTCTGGCGGTGCTGGGCCTCGAGGTTCTCCGGGTGCTCCGTCTTGGCGGGAGCCCCTCTCTCCGCAGGAGCTGCGCAAGTGGTTTGCTCGCCGCTGGAGGCGTACTTCTGGAGCTAGAGCTTCTTCGGCCGCTGAGGGTGGTGGTGCCGCCGGTCCTGGAGCTGCTGGGCCTGCGGGTCCTACTGGAGCTGGAGCTGCTAAGGGTGTTGGTGCTGGGACTGCTGTCGTGTTTCCTTGCTGGAGGTCCTGCTGCTGGAGGTGCTGTTAGCGCTGGTGCTGCCGCTGAGGGTCCAGGTGCTGTCCCTGCTGTGTCTACAGTCCCCGCGCGGCCTTGGCCGTACTTCGTTCCGCTCCTGCAGCAGGTTCTTGGTCTTCCTCCTTCAGTCGAGTGTCCACCGCCTGTCCAGTCGAAGTCACTATTAGAGCCAGCCTCCCCACTGCCTGCTCCCTCTCCTTACACTGGTCCAACTGGAGGTCTAGCCGAGCGTCTTGAGCTTGCGTCTCGTCCCGCGTCGCCTGTTCGTGCTGCTCGCGCTAGTGGTCGCAATTCGCGTCAACGTCCTCCTCCTGTCCCTGGCACGCACCGGATGTCTTTACATCCGTCTACAGCTCCTCTACGTGCCCCTTTGCCTTCTCCTCCTGAGTCCTCTCTTCCTGCTCTTGCCGACCCGGAGTCGGACTCTCTTCGTGCTGCCAGTCCTACTGTCACGCGTCTTCTTGCTACTGTCGTCACTGACCCCTCTTTTGAGTCCGCTGCTGCGTCTCCTCTTGTCGCTGAGCTCGTCGACTTTGCTGCTCGCTGTCGTCTAGACTACGCTGCTAGTCTTGTTGCTGAGTCCGCGTCTGTCTGTCCTCCGTCCATCGGGGGTGCGTGTGCTCTTGGCATGGACGTCCTTGAGGACAGGCAGGAGGAGTTCCAGTGTCTGGCTGCTGCTTCACCTCATCTCGCGTCTGTACTACTTGCCCCTGAGGGAGACCCGGATGCACTAGACATCCCGACTCCGCGTTCTTACGCGAAGGCCATAGAGGGTCCCTACTCCTCTCAGTGGCAGGCAGCTATGGATGCAGAGATGGCTTCGTGGAAGTCCACAGGCACCTACATTGACGCAGTTCCCCCTCCTGGGGCGAACATCGTCAGTGGCATGTGGATCTTCAGGGTGAAGCGGCCACCTGGCTCTCCACCTGTCTTCAAGGCGCGGTGTATCGCTCGTGGCTTCAGTCAGCGGCAGGGAGTTGACTACTTTCAGACCTCCTCTCCTACCCCGAAGATGACCACTCTTCGGGTGCTGCTGCACATAGCCGCTCAGTGCGACTCTGAGCTTCACTTTCTTGACATCAGCACTGCTTTCTTGCAGGGCAGCCTGCACGAGGAGATCTGGCTGCGCCGTCCACCTGGCTTCACTGGGACTTTCCCTCCTGGCACCCGGTGGAGCCTCTGACGGCCAGTCTACGGTCTCCGCCAGGCGCCGCGTAAGTGGCACGACACACTGAGGACTACGCTTGCGGCTCTTGGATTTGCTCCCTCTACTGCTGACCCGTCGCTGATTCTGCGCACTGACACTTCTCTGCCGCCGTTCTACATCCTCGTGTACGTCGACGACTTGGTCTTTGCCACTGCTAACACAGCTGGACTCGCCTACATGAAGTCCGAGCTGCAGAAGAGACACACGTGCACAGACCTGGGTGAAATGCGCAGCTACCTTGGCTTGCAGATCACTCGAGACAGAGCACGCCGCACCATTACCTTGACTCAGTCACACATGGTGCAGCAGGTCCTTGAGCGCTTCGGCTTCACGTACTCCTCTCCTCAGGCCACTCCTCTGTCTACTCGCCACTCGCTCTCAGCTCTGCCTTCGGATGAGTCCGTAGAGTTGAGTGGCCTGTACCCAGAGCTTGTTGGCTGCCTCATGTACCTGATGACCTGGACACGACCGGACCTTGCATACCCTCTTAGCATTCTTGCACGCTATGTTGCTCTTGGGAGACACCGACCAGAGCACATGGCTGCAGCAAAGAGGGTGTTGCGCTACTTGTGCAGTACGTCGGGCATGGGGCTAGTGCTTGGAGGGCGGAGTCCAGTGGTCCTCACTGGCCACGCGGACGCTTCTTGGGCTGACGACCAGGCTACGCAGCGGTCGTTGCAGGGGTACACCTTCAATCTTGGTTCTGGCTCTGTCTCGTGGCGGGCTACTCGCTCGTCTTCTGTTCTCGGCTCCAGTTGTGAGGCTGAGATCTATGGCGGGGCCATGGCTGCACAGGAGCTTCGCCGGCTCACCTACCTGCTGACTGACCTTGGAGAGCCGCCTCGTTCTCCTCCAGTGCTGTATGTAGACAACAAGGCCATGCTGGCCTTGTGTCGAGATCAGCGCTTGGAGCACAGAACGAAGCACATTGCTCTCCGCTACTTCCTTGCTCGTGAGCTGCAGCAGCGTGGTCAGTTGCGACTTGCGTACGTGGCCTCTAAGGCCAACACTGCTGATATTTTCACAAAGGCACTTGCATGTGAACTGGCCTTGTGGCCTTGACCTTGTGCTCAGACTGTGTGGTGACTTTGTGATCCACCCTAACCTTTGTTTTGCTTTGCTTGGCTGGTCTTTTGACCCCTTGTTCTCCCCCACTTTGCCTATGGGGGTGTGTCATAACATTATAGCTTATGATGTTGTGTAGGCTATAGTGGGGTATCCCATAAGGGGTACAATAGAATTAGGGTTGGTACTTGTACTCACACATTTCATCGTTCATTCATTCATGTTCTTTCGTTTCACAGAGTCTGGTCAGGTAGCTGCTTCGAGTCAAGTGTTTGCTGCAGCGTCGAGGTCTGGTCCTGAGTCTTTTCCCTGCTCGTGTTGTCTCCTGACCCACCAGACTCTCCTTTGGCACCACCGCCTTGGTAAGCCCTCCTTGCCTCGTCTCGGAGGCATGGCCTCCCATGTCCTTGTCTCTGGTCTCCCCTGGTTCCTCCCTCCCCTCCCTTCGGGGCCTGCCCCTACCTGCGTTCCCTGCGTCAAGGGGCAGTAGCGTGCCGCCCCTCACTCCTCCGAGTTTCCTCTGACTGAGGCTCCGCTGCAGACTCTTCACATGGACGTGTGGGGCCCCGCCCGCGTCCCTAGACAGGGGCACGAGCGTTACACCACAGTCTTCCCCTTGCACAGCAAGGGTGACGTCACTGAGGTGTTAATCGACTGGATTCGCGCAGCTCGTCTCCAGCTCAGAGAGAGTTTTGGCTCGGACTTTCATGTTCTGCGTCTGCACTCTGACAGAGGCGGGTAGTTTTCCTCTGCCCGTCTAGGAGCTGCATCCGCCAGACCTTCACGCTTCCGGCCTCTCCACAGCAAAATGGGATTGCTGAGCGCCGCATTGGCATGGTCATGGACGTCGCTCGTACGTCCATGATGCATGCGGCTGCCCCCCATTTTCTGTGGCCGTTTGCAGTTCAGTACGCAACGCATCAGCTCAACCTTCAGCCTCGGGTCTCCTTGCCAGAGACCTCACCCACCTTGCGGTGGACGGGGAAGGTTGGCGATGCGTCTGCGTTTCGGGTCTGGGGACCTCGGGCGTTTGTCCGCGACTTGTCTGCGGACAAGTTGTCCCCTCGTGCTGTTCCCTGCGTCTTCCTTGGCTTCCCCCCTGACGCGCCTGGTTGGGAGTTTTACCACCCCACCTCGCGCCGTGTTGTGTCCTCCCAGGAGGTCACCTTTGACGAGTCGGTGCCTTACTATCGTCTCTTCCCCTACTGCATTGCGCCCCTCCCCCCGTCGCCGCTCTTCCTTGAACCAGGTCCTTCCCCGGTAGACCCCCTCCCCCCTCAGGGTCCTGCCCCGTCAGGTGTGTCCCAGGTAGATGCAGTCCAGCTTGTCAAGGTAGCTATTGACTCTGGTGCTGCTAGAGGTGCTGAGGCTGCGAGTGCCGGGTCAGGAGGTGCTGAGCCTGGGGGTGCGGAGTCTGGGGGTGCTGGGTCAAGGGGTGCTGAGCCTGGGGGTGCTGGGTCAGGGGGTGCTGAGTCTGGGGATGCTGAGCTTGGGGGTGCTGAGTCTAGGGGTGCTGAGTCTGGGGGTGCTTAGCCTGGGGTTCCTGAGCCTGGGGGTGCGGAGCCTGTGGGTGCTAGGTTTGCTCGTGTGGCCTCTCGCGGTGCTTCGTCAAGGCAGGAGCTCCTTTCTCCGTAGGAGCTGCGCGAGTGGTCTGCTCGACGCTGGAGACGTGCTGTTGAAGCTGGAGGTACTACTGTTACTGCTGGTCCTGGAGGTGCTCGTACTGGCGGTACTGGAGCTGCTAGGACTGTGGGTGCTGCTAGGGCTGCTGGAGTTAGTCCTGCTGGAGGTACTGCTGGAGCTGCAGGCGGTATTGCAGCTGACGGTGCTGCTGGAGCTCCAGGAGCTAGAGCTGCTGGAGGTGTTGGCGCTGGTGGTTCTGCTGGCGCTGGTGGTTCTGCTGGCGCAGGTGCTTTTGAGGGTGCTGGAGTTGACGCTGTTGGAGCTGGAGGTGCTGGTGGCGCTGGTACTTCCACTGGGGGAACTGGTGCTGTCCCTGCTGGTATTAAAGGCGCTGCGCGGCTGTGGCCGTACTTCGTTCCGCTCCTTGAGCAGGTTCTTGGTCTCCCGCCCTCTACTGGTCTTGATCCTCCCTTAGAGTGTCCACAAC